CATTTTTTCTTAGTAACTGTAACTGATTACAGTTACATTTATTTTGTAATTAAATTACGTAACGCCGTTACATGTAACTAGTTACTCCCCAACACTGATAATGAACATAGAAGTCGTCATTTACTCCCAAAATCTGAGCCACTGAAAACGCAATGGATTAACTTTGTTTTTGAAGGGAATGCGCCCCCCCGATCTACGTAAATGTGTTTATGTTCGCACGAATCATTCGTGATCCAGCCTTACCTACAGAAGAAGTGGGTATAAAGTTATTTTATGAATCTTTGCAAATTGCCTTTCCTAATAACGTGCTAGTTAGCAAGTTCCATGGCTAAAGTAAACAGTATCATGAGAACGGCTCGTCACCCACGGAGAGAGGGTGAGGTCAGCAGAGCTCATTAGCATTTAAAGTAACATGGACTAGAACCGCGTGCTGAAAACAGAGCTGATTTTGACAGGGTAAAAAAGGTGTTTTTTACACTACCATTGAGAAATTTTAACCAAAGTATGTTATAGACTTTTCATTAAGACCCTAAAGAATCATATCAACTTGTGGAAAATGGGCATCCGATGACCTCTTTAAAGATGCAATTCATGTAAAATTCTTAAGAAGTTCCAAAATATGTTGGTTCTATTTTTTTCTGAAGAAGAAAACAACTGTCTTTGGCGTTATCTGAAAATGCTTTTTTTTTTTGTATTTTGTATTTACAGTGGTGGCCAAAATTGTTAGAACACTTGGCATATTTAAGAGGTTTCAGTTGTTTTTTGTTGAATTTGCTATTACAAAACCCATAAAATGAACTATTGCCGAAACTAAAAATGATGGACTGGCCCTTCAAAGTTCGGACCTCAACCTTATAGACTTTTCATTAAGACCCTAAAGAATCATATCAACTTGTGGAAAATGGGCATCCGATGACCTCTTTAAAGATGCAATTCATGTAAAATTCTTAAGAAGTTCCCAAATATGTTGGTTCTATTTTTTTCTGAAGAAGAAAACAACTGTCTTTGGCGTTATCTGAAAATGCTTTTTTTTTTTGTATTTTGTATTTACAGTGGTGGCCAAAATTGTTAGAACACTTGGCATATTTAAGAGGTTTCAGTTGTTTTTTGTTGAATTTGCTATTACAAAACCCATAAAATGAACTATTGCCGAAACTAAAAATGATGGACTGGCCCTTCAAAGTTCGGACCTCAAGCCCATCGAGCAAATTCGGGGCGAGTTGGAAAAAATCATGTTTTTGGAGGCAAAAAAAGGTCAATATTTTCAGATCTGCCAGGTGTTCTAACAATTTTGGCCACTACTGTATAGGCTTATTATCACTTACTTATTTCACTTGTTTTTGTATTGTTATTACATTTTGAATTCAGTAAAAAGTTGCATCATGCATAACCATTATTGATTACTGTTTACATTATCAATCATTGGTGCCAACTCATGCGCATCCATAGCCAGTAGTAGTAAAGGGTTAGTTCACCCAAAAATAAAAATTATCCCATGTTTTACTCACCCTCAAAGCATCCTAGGTGTATATGACTTTCTTCTTTCAGACGAATCCAATCAGAGTTATATTAAAAATTATCCTTATTCTTCTAAGCGTTAGAATGGGAGTAGGCGGGTTTTTTCGGCTCCGGGGGGTGAATAAAGGCCTCCTGTAGCGAATCGATGCAAAACAAGCAAAGCTAAAAATGTAGGAGGATTTCAATATAAACCAAGAGGAGACTGGTTTTCCTTTGGTAAAGTAAGGAACCTTTGCTTCCTTTGCTCCTGTAAACAAACTCGCGAGACTAGCATATCTCACCGGCGCGTGCGTGACGCATACATCCTACATCATCTGCTGGAATGACTTCCGCCTACGACAGTCAGCAGAAGTAAGAAAAAAGTGTTTATAACATTTGAGATATGGATATTTTTCTTACAAAAACGCATGGATTCGCTACAGGGGGCCTTTATTCACCCCCCGGAGCCACGTGAGGCATGTTTTACTATGTATGTGCATGCTTTATTTGATTACTTTTGGACTGTTGAACAAAAACACCCACCTACTCCCATTCTAACGCTTGGAACAGCAAGGAAAATGTTTAATATAACTCCGATTGGATTCGTCTGAAAGAAGAAAGTCATATACACCTAGGATGCTTTGAGGGCGAGTAAAACATGGGCTAATTTTAATTTTTGGGTGAGCTAACCCTTTAATGCTGTGTGTGTATTTGTAGTGTGGCTTGATTGGTGACAGCAGGTGCGGGTGATCAGAACTCAGGTGACTGTGATCGGGTAATTATCCTGGATGGTGACTGAAGTGACTGTGATGAATCCCTGACAGAGGGCGAGTAAAACATGGGCTAATTTTAATTTTTGGGTGAGCTAACCCTTTACGTATTATAATGTTGCGTTTTAATGAAATTAATTTGAAAATTTCTCATTTTAAATTGTACAATTTTTAAATTCAAGCAACATCTTACCTCTAGGGATTTAAGACGAGGCTATCCTAACTTAAGAAGTAATTTTAAAATGGCTTTTAAGAAGATTCTTTTCAAAAAATTTGAACAATCTTAATGGAAAATATAAGAGTATTCTTAAGAAGTATGTTTTGGAAAAGAAAATATTCTTAACTTTTTTATTGAGAAAGAAAATAAGAAGAAAATTCCAGCTAGGTAGTATTTTATTCTTGAATGTTTTGTGAATCCATCCCCTGGCTCCTAAAGAGTCTTTAAGCGGTGCGGATGAGTTAACTTCACGCAGTCGCGTGTGTGTGGTAACTGCAGTCATGGTTTTTCCGATCTGACTGCATTCGCTCATTTTTAGCAGCATGAGCGGCAAAAGCAGTTGCCATAGAAACGTGTGTTCTCCGGCGTCAAGCTCTCGTTTTGACATGATGCTCGTGAAACCTCAGCGTTCACATCAATAAAGTGACACAGTTCAGATGTCACGTTTAGTGACTCGACATCATTAGGATGAGTGATTAATGCAGCAAGAAACATTTCATTCTGTATGCAGTGTGCAAACCGTTTCTGTCTGAATATTCACGGGTTTTACCGTGTTTTACCATGTTCCCAGAGACTGTTCGACGGCACGTGACTTCAAGAACAACAGCTCAACACACTATATTTAACCCAAAGCGGCTCACGCTCGTCTCTCTTGATACACACGGCTGTTTCAATTAAAAGAGGGGTTGCTATGGAAACCCCAAAAGCCTTGGCTGAGCGTCCATCGCACATTATCAAGAGAATTTTGGTCTCTCGCAAACACACACACACGAGTCTCTGCTTGAGGGATTTTCTAATTCCAAACATTAATCTGCACTAATGTTTTCTGGACTCATTACATCCACAGACACACAAACACACACATGACGTGATGGCATTGATTTCTTCATCGACTGACCAGAGACGAGGATCTCCTGCCCAGGCAGATGGTTCTGCTCCGGTGGTTTTCCTCGGAGAAGTCAGTCCTGGTCTTCTCCTCCGCCAGCGGCGCCAGATCCAGATGCCCATTAGGAGTGAGAGACGACAGCTTGGGATCTGGAGGAAAGAAACAGCAGTCATCCAAAGCCAAGAGCAGATCTCTGGCCATCAACACACGCTGTGAAGCTCTCCGGAGTCGACACTAACGTCTCCTTCATGAGTTCCTGTGGAGTTTCTCGCCCTTTACAGCCACAGAAACTCAGAAACTGGAGGATTAACAGTCCATCAAAAGTGTCCCACAGGATTAAACAATAAAAGACGCTCAGATTTCACCAGCTCAAGTCTGTTTAACATCTCAATCAAGAGCAACAACACTGGTTGAGTAGATTCATACGTGATGTTTACAGGACATAAAGTGTTTTCTGCAATCAGATTGGCTTTACATCGGGAATCAGTGTGCACAGATTTGAATACGAGTCCAAATCAACATCACATTAATAATAAGTCAAGTCAGACACATTGATGGAAGAGACGCAGTTAATTCCAAAATCCAGTATTTTTTCATGTTTCATGGACTTCATCTACACTAAGGTAAGTACAACATGATTCAACTGCTCATCTATTTCCCACCAACTTGTATCCATTCGTGACAAATGAAACACGGCATTGAGCTGACTATAGTTGACGGATTATATAATGAGAGTGAATGTGCAGGGATCGTACCGGAGAACGTGAGCGAGTTTTTGTGCTGTTCACTTCCATTAGAGGAAGATCCTTCATCATCATCATCATCAGAGTACGAGCGATTGGCATCACCCTGAAACACACGGGTCACATCAGCAAGAAGAACAGGACAGCACTCAAACAACAGCTGGCTAAGTGTTTTCACAAAGTCAAAGAGACTTTTTTTACAGAAATAGATTTACAGAAATAGAGAGTCTGGTGAGGATGAACGTGACGAGCTGCACAAACCTCCCTGAACAGCATGAATTCCAATCAGAAACAACTACATTATGTCTTTCCCAATAAAGAAACTATTTATATTTTGCTTGCTGCAACTCTCTTATTCTACCAATAAAGAGGAGCACTTCAGTTTAGGGACCAATTCTCACTATTTACTAGTTGCTTATTAGCATGCATATTACTAGCACATTGGCTGTTTATTAGTACTTGTAAAGCACATATCAATGCCTTATTCTGCATGACCATATTTTAGATCCCTTAATCTTAAACCCCATACCTAAAGTTAACAACTACTAAAGGTCTTTGCACGAAATTCTCATCCGAAATTTTCACACGTTAAAAAGTATTGGACTATTGCAATGCTCTCTTGGCAGGTCTTCCAGCCAGTTCTATCAAGCCTTTACAATTAATCCAGAATGCTGCTGGAAGATTAATCTTTAACGAGCCGAAAATAATGCACGTCACACCTCTGTCCATCAATCTGCACTGGCTACCAGTAGCTGCTTGCATAAAATTCAAGGCATTGATGTTTAAAAAACCACC